GATTCAAGTGTTCAAACTGACTTGAAATGAGTTTAAGCGATATTGATGTCTGTAGATCGAACATATTTTGGACGACGAGAAAGAAACTTCAAATGAATGCAAATCACTTAAACGTATAGAAATTCATGAAAAAGAGTTAACCCGAAAAAGTTTATTCAATATAAAATATAAACTGGCCTTATAGACCACTTGGTTTTGCTAGCATTGTGAGTACAACATCGGAGCAGACATTTATTCATAGTCTGGGGTTAGCAATTAAAAAGCCAAACGATTATTTTGGTCATTTTACTTTCTAAAACTTGAGTGACTTTTTAAACTGATTTCCCAAGTCAGAATTTTTCATGATCTGTATACCTTACAAATTTGGTTTACATTGGGTGAGCAGTATTTGATCCACGGGAACCAATGTCATTTACTCCCACTCCCCACTCTCTTTAACTGAAGTTCAACTGTCATGCTTAGCACTTTAGAACATGAATGTTTTCCTTGTTGCCACCGGTGCTAACATCGACCAATGCGTTTGATATGGCTACCGTTGGTTGGCGCCAGCCCCATCGTGACGACTGTTGACCGTAGTAAATAATCACGATTATCACATGATACTACAACGTGACTAGTCAGATAAAAGTGCATCACTGGAAGTACCGACATGGTAAACGGCTCTTCCGATCCTGTTCGTAGTTGTGGCGATACCATTCAGTGTTTCAGCTGTCCAATTTCATCACACCATCCGGGTAATCATCAATGATGCCGTAGCTATCGCTCGCCCCAAAGAACAATACTTGGAACGTTCAATGCCACTTCCTGATAGTCTGGAGTCCCTGCCCCCTCATTTCATGTGAATTACCTGCTACCTTAGTCGGAGGCTTACACGAAACTATTACACATCAAAATGGTGAAAAATTGTGAAAAGTTGCACTGATGCGGCTGAGGTTGCGGGCGAGGAGATATAGAAAGTATTGTAATGAACACCACAAAGAAACAATAGGAACTATTATCTGATGTATTTTTATACTGAATCTTATACAACTGAAGTTGTCCGAGTAGCATTTCAAGATTTCCGGGTATCATTTTAAGTTGTACCAGTATTAATTCAAGGTGTCTCGTTGAACTCACCAGAGCAATCAAGCTCCTGAATTTTTCAAGCCTCATAGCGATGTCTGGATGACAGCCATGCCGCATAGATTTCTCAACCTCCTGTTAAAGCGCTGATGAGACGGTTGCGAGAC